TATTTTATTAATCAAGACATGTAGTATAAGTAGTATATTGTCTTAGTGCAGACTGTGCAGTTGTGATATACCAAAATTTAATTCCGGCTCAATGCATATTCGTCATATATATATTTCATATCAATAGAGTTTTTTCAACCAAATTGGTATCTTGAAAACCATAAAAAGAAATTGTTTAAATATATTTTTGAAAACTAACTAAATGTTGATCTTTCAAATTTATAATATACGATTTAAAATGTATAAAATTAATAATTGAATTTGTATTTACTAAATTAATTTTGAAATGATTAAATTTAGCTGACGGTAAATAATATCACGAAATTGAACAGTTGTATATGATTAAATTTTGAAATGATTAAATTTAGCTGACGGTAAAAATAAGATGAAGTCATCTGAGTGGAAAAAATTTCTTATACTATTTTCTCATAACGTTGTTTAAGTAATAATAAGGAAGACCAACTTTACTTCTCACCAAAAACAAAAAAAAAGGAAGACCAACTTTACTATGCATATGTTATAATTATTTTTGAAACATAGGACTGATAAAATCATAATCAACTTTTCTTTAGCCATAAATATATTTTATCAATTAATATATTTTTAGTAGGAGATCCAATTATCTGAAATGTTATTGTAATATGTTTCTTCTTTATTATTGTTGTATAAGTTAAAGCATTGACATTCTTTTTGTTTTCAAACTAACTTTGCATTAATTCTTGTAAAAATCTATGTTTGATCAATTATAACTTTAGCGAATACTTGAAAAAAAATCTAAATTATTTAGCTAGGGACTATATATTTTGCCTACTATAGTACTACTTGGATGGTTTTGAAATTATGGTATCTTTTTATGTCGCAAAAAAAAAAAACTATAGGTACACGGACTTAAAGGAGACAAGAGTATCATAGCCTTAGATTTATTTTCCACCGTGTTTCTAAGTAGAATTCTTTCGACTAAAATGATTTCTCTGAGATTTTGTCTTGGATCACATTTAAGTTGTTTATCTCTATTGGTTCAAGAGACCAACCAACTTTGTTACACAGCAACCCTAAGTCGTATTATAGCCATCCAATTCTCACATCTTCTATTCGCATAAAACAGACTAATTGAAAGATTCCACCTAGTTAATATACACATTAAGTTGAGCTACCATCAACTTCAAGAATACTTTGTTTAAGCATGACATGATTAGATTAATAAAGCATATACCCCACACGCCGAAATATTTTTCTTATATTTTTATCCGTGATTTTTTCTATGATTAAATTTGACCGTCCAAGTGGATTGAATGCAAATGTGAGTGTTTAATTATCATCACTATAAGATCAGTTTTTTTTTTTTTTTTTTTGAATATATGGATTGTTATGGTCATCATTTTACGAACATTCGAAACTTACATAGTCGAGTAATTTTGATGTACAAAACAATCATTTTGGTTTTGAAAAAAGTTGCAATTCTCCATATCAAATTGGTTTTGGAAGCAACTAGAAAAAGAACAAATGTATGTGACGGCCAGAAATAGGGAGTCGAAAACGGTGGAAAGGTAAGTTTTATTTCTCAATATATTTTTCTTAATTAATATGCAAGTAAGTTGTCAAAAAGTGGGTACGTATATTATTTAGAGTTGATTTCAGTTTGATCAGAATTTGTTATTTAGCCAAAATTCTTATTATAAAAGACGTGTGAACCAGACAGTTAGACACTGTTGAAAATATATTTTCTTTAGAAATTTACTTATTTTTAATTTTTTTAATCTTTATTTGTTTTTTTAAACTGGTGTTAGCAAAGTTAGTAAATCAGTGTTTTTTTTTTTTTTTTTTGTCATCTAGTAAATCAATGTTTCAATATATGGTATTTATGATCACATATATAGTTATATATTTTGTACAGTGAAAAATTACATCGTTTCATGCTATATATATATAAAGTATTGTCGTCTATTTATTTATAATGGTCGTTTGTATAGTTTTTCTACTCTTGTAAACTTGTTATGATATCAATATAATTGATTTGAAGGAAGAAAAAAATAGAGTGTTGTAACAAAATTTTGGCAGTATATATATAATAATTTATAAGTACTACCCGACTAATATATATATATATATATATATATATATATATATATATATAATCCATTTTATAACACAACCAATAAGTTATAGTATTCACTTTGTCCCACAATAAAATTTCTTTTTAGAAAATTCATTCATTTCTTTCAAAATACATTTTTCTGTTTTTTTTTTAATATATAAACATGTATAATAAAGATCAAAAGATGATTTTCTCAACATTTCTCTCTTATAATGTAAAATCTAAACTATTGAATGAATGTTACTGCTACAAAATTATAGTTATTCACTTATTCTAAGTTGTCATCAAGATTCTATTACTTTTAAAAGGCAAAATTTACTAATCAAAGACTAGTAGATAGATTTTACAATTAATTAAGCACATATATTGATTTAAAAATTAATTTTCACTCTACAAATCGTTAAATCCAAGAGTTGTATCTATATAAAGGCAATATGCTTTCGGACCCATGCATGGTTTTTGATGTTTTTTTACGGTTATTCCATTACGGGTAGGGTTATGTGATAAACGATATGATGATTTCATAAAATATAATAAATCAGCGGTCATTGTCTCCGCATGGTTCGGGGATAAAAATACTCGTATAAATAAGCCTTTAGATTTCGAATTTATAAAGCTTTGACGTCGGCTGATACATAGAAACAAAAAAAACTTTGATGTCAAGCTCTCTCTCTGTCTTTCTGTCCATCAATACGCATTACACACGCACAATAGAAGCAAATTATTGTTTGAACACCTAAAAGGTGATATACGACATAATTATCATCCCAAACAAAACAATCTCTAAATTTTGGGATATAGCTTTCATTAGATTACATTTTGACTCACATGATATACGGCAAAGAAATATTAAATACATGGCAACGTATAAAGTTGATAATTCAACATGTTATATTTTCTCTCTCTTCGAACATGAGTGTAACAAGACGAACCCCAAAGCCTGCAAAAACACACAGAATCTTTTCTTTGGTTTCGTGGACCGGTCTACAATCTCACGTGCAAAACAAAACATACACGATCTCTCTCTCTCTCTCTCTCTCTCTCTCTCTCTCTCTCTCTCTCTCTCTCTCTCTCTCTCTCTCTCTCTCTCTCTCTCTCTCTCTCTCTCTCTCTATCTCACCAGCACTCACAGTCGTCTTACAATCGTAGGGGTA